CAGGGTCTCCATTGAGGCCAAAGGCAGAGCGGAACAAATGAGTTCCGTTAGCAGTTGGTGAACGTTCATCAACGACTCATCAGTCAATTGAAGCACGTGGCCACTGCTAAGTGAACATTCATCAGAGGCCGGCGAGCACAGAAAACCTCCAAACAGAGTGAATAATCAATAGAATGTACAACAACCTCGAGAGAGGAGGAGGAGGGGTAGGGTACAGTTGTCTGACTGAGGCCTTATTTTTTGGAAAAAACACGGCTCAAGCGCACGCGAGGCCTACAAAAACTGCAAAACCGTTTCTCTAAAAGCGTCACAGAGTTGGCAAAGGAAAAACAATATACAGTGGTGCCTTAGACTACCCTGTTTTGGCATCGGGAGTATGGGTGACATGTATGCAAGAAAATGTGCAGAATAAAGTGGTAGATTTTGCTTGAACTTCTGTTTACCCGCACAAAGACTCAGGCCAGACACTGTGCAGATTACTTCGAAATGGCGCCGTTTACCGCTCCTTTTTGTTGTTCTCTTGTCTCCATGGTTCGCATAAAATCGTTACTTACCTCATTGACTCTTTCTCGTCTGTAGTTGGTTAGCACTTGTCAAGCGAAAGTGAAGTTTGCTCATTTCAAATCTTAAAATCCGTTTGCAATTTGGAGGTAATTAATGGTGAAGGTGCTTTTTGAGCTTTTCAACTATACCCATCTCCCCTCGATTTTTCCCTCTAGGTTGTTAACTCAAAACATTTGCTTCCGGGTCGCAGTTTTAGTTTTGCCAGAATTCCTCTTCTCCTGTCTCGTAGTTACCAGGCCTATTTTTTGAGATTGATATTTTAACATTCGCGCTGACTTTCAGCCCGTTTGAAGGGTGGAATCAAGATTTATGGGGTTCTAGTACTATGAAAATGGCGGGTGGAAGACTAAGGCATGTGTTCACGGCCTTTAATCACGTCACAGGTTGCAGCATTAAGTACATCACCATGTGCACTTTTCAGGCCCAATATTTTTAGACATTAAATCGAAA